GGGCTGAATTCGAACCCGCCACCTTAGGTGTATGTGGCTGGCGCCTTAGCCACTTGAGCCACAGGTGCCAAGCCGAATTAACTAAATCTTACAGAATCCTGGCTAAACCAGTCCCTTCAAAGCCTCTTCCAATTCTGGAACTGTAACCGTCAGATATATTCACATACCTATGAGAAAGGTAGAAGCCTATCTTGGCTGTTGCTTATACCCTCAGGTATTACCTGTGAGGCATACCCTCACCCCATTACCTGTGAGTGATCGCTTGTAGACTCCCTGGAGGATGGCACCCACGCGGAAAAAGGAGAAAGCCATATAGAAGTTCCAATTTTCAATGAGAGGGATCCCCATGTGAAGACAGTACATCCTGAAATACTCCTCTGCAGTAGGGATTCCCAGTTGAGTCAAATCACAGTCATTCAAACCTGGGAGAAAGACAGAGCCAGTGCTGGGCTGTCAATGAGGTCACACTGCACTCCTGTGATTGGCAGGTATTTAAATTTTAAAACCACTATGTCCCTTGGAAATTAGTTTCACAACTAGTTCAAGGGGTTAGCTTTTATTTCAGTAGTTTTTGCTCCCCAAGATAGCTAGGAATCCAGGCATTTATTGTACAGAAATCGGCTTTTAAAGGTTTCAGACTAAATTGGAAATAAAGGAAGGAATTGGATCCCCCTATTCCATCTGAAACACAATTCAGAGTGAATGCACATTTGATTAAACCAGTCATTTGATTAAAAAATGGCTTTGAAAGAGAGATCTCATCAAATTGTAAAAAAGGTAATTACCATAAATAAATAAATTCACGGATTTGCTTCATTTGTGACATTTTCATGATTTAGAAGCATCCTATCCCCACTTTGATGCCTAGTGCAGTCACAACCTACTTCAGCCAAATTTGTACCCAATGCTTGGAGAATAAAGCTGGCTTGTCCCTCTCTGTCCCCAGCCAGCTGCCCCTACCTCTCAGCAGGGAGCAACTGGACGGCAGATAGTGAGCCATGCAATTGTAGGCCACATCAGCAAGGGGGTCACCTAAGGTAGAAAGTTCCCAGTCAAGGACACCAAGGACCTCTGGCTTTTCTGGATGAAACAGCAGGTTGTCAAGCCTAAAAAGGCACAGAAGAAAAGGTGAGACAATTCTAAGAAAACTGACTGCCAGGGTAGATTCTGTGTAGAGCATGGTCAGTTTGCCCTTCCAGGTTCACTCCCCCACTTTCCCCACCTTCTCTGTGCCCTAGAGCCTGAGCTCTACCAGCTGTATCCTCCAAGGGCTCCCTTGATCTCTGGCTTCCAGATAACCTCAGGCCATCAGAGGCAGCAGCAGGTGATGGGAAGAGGGCCTGGGTGGCTGCAACCAGCCCTCTCTACTGAGAGCCACAGTTTTGGCCAGCAGAGTTCCCCACAGAACTGCCCTCTCTGGGTTGTGGGAATACCTCCCTCCCTGTGATAGTTTAAAAATAGGTTTACAAATTCTTTGCTACTCCTCCCACAAAAGGCAGAGTCTAATTCTTCTGCCTTGAAGCACTTGGCTCCTAACAAATACAAATATAAGTAAAAGTGAAACTAAGAGCTTCCCAAAATTAGACTAGGTCAGAAAAGGTGATACAGCTTTAGTCCCTTCTCTCTTTCAGAACATACACCCTTGGAGCCCTGAGTCACCACATAAGAAGTCCAGCTACCCCAAAGCCACCATGTTAGAGAGACCATGTGGGAAACCATAAATAGACAGACAGAGGGAAAGACCCAAGGAGTCCAGCTGTTCATATCTTCTCTGCCCCAGGGTCAGTGTGGGCAAAATAACTGGTCACTGTATAGCCAGTCAGGTCTGTAGTTTGTTACACAGCAGTAAGACCCACAGCACATATCAGGTCTCTCAGAGATAAAGGGTGGTAATGACTCCCTGATGTTGCTAGCCCTGGGTTTCCTCTCAGCCATGCTATACCCTTGTATTAAACTCTCTGCAAATGGCCTCTTTGAGACCTTGCATACTTTATTTAAAAGAAAAAGAAATTACCAACATGCAGAAAAACAGAGAATGATATGACAGAACTCGGGTAGCCATCTTTCAGATTTAACAGATGTTATACCTGCTTCTCTGTTAGATTTGCTTCAGATATTTAAAAAAATAAAATATTATAAATATAGCTAATGGTCTCCATCCCATTCCTCGCCTTCCTTCCTCAAAAATTACTGCTATCCTGAAGTTGGCATATCTCCATCTCACATATTTGTATGTCTCTATCTATGCAGGTGCCTGTAAACCACATATAGTATTTTTTCAATTCTCTTAAAATTTACATACATGATATCACACTATATATATCCTTTTGTTTTGTTTCTTTTCTGAGACAAAATGTTACTTTGTCAACCTCTGTAGAGTGCTGTGATGTCATAGCTCACAGCAATCTCAAACTCCTGGGTTTAAGCAATTCCTTTGCCTCTGCCTCCCAACTACCTGGGACTATAGGCATCTGCCACAACACCTGGCTATTTTTAGAGACAAAGTGTCACTCTGGCTCAGGCTGGTCTTGAACCTGTGAACTCAGGCAATCCACCCACCTCAGCCTCCAAGTTCTGGGATTACAGGCATGAGCCACCACACCTGGCCCTATATATATATATCCTTTTGGAACTTACTTTTTTTTTTTAGAGGCAGGATCTTGCAATGTTGCCTAGACTGGTCTTAGACTCCTGGCCTCATGCAGTCTTCCCACCTTGGTCTCCCAAAGTGCTGGGATTACCACCACACTCAGCCTAGGACTTACTTTTTTTTTTTTTTTTGCAGTTTTTGGCCGGGACTGGGTTTGAACCCGCCACCTCCAGCATATGGGGCCAGCACCCTACTCCTGTGAGCCATAGGCGCCGCCCCTAGGACTTACTTTTATCTAATCAGCATTATCTTTTTGAACTTTACTTATTTACTTTTTTGTTCTTGTTGGTGCAGTTTGGCCGGAGTTGGGTTTAAACCCGCCACCCTGGGTATATGGGGCCGGTGCCCTACTCACTGGGCCACAGGCGCCACCCTATTTATTTTTTATTTTTTTGCAGTTTTTGGCCGGGGCTGGGTTTGAACCCACTACCTCCGGCACATGGGGCCAGTGCCTTACTCCTTTGAGCCATAAGTGCCACCCCTATTTACTTATTTTTGAGACAGAGTCACACTCTGTCATACTGGGTAGAGTGTCATGGCATCATAGCTCACAGCAACCTCAAACTCTTAGGTTCACGCAATCCTTTTGCTTCAGTTTCCCAAATAGCTGAGACTATAGGTGCCTGCCACAATGGCTGGCTAGTTTTTCTAATTTTAGTAGAGACAAGAGAGACAAGAGACTTCCTCTTGTTCAGGCTGGCCTTAAACTCCTGAGCTCAAGTGATTTACCTGCCTTTGCCTCCCAGAGTGCTAGGATTACAGGCATAAGCCACCATGTCGGCCTGAGATTTACTTATGATGACTTACATACAGCAAATCAATTTATTTTACCCTCTAAATAGAATTTGAGTGTATGACCAGACATTAGAAGCATGACCAAAGTGAACACACTTTCCTCCGAGTCTCCTGGTTGCAGGGGCACATGCTTCTCTAGAAGAATTATGGGTTGTTTCATATTTCCATCTCCTATATTATTGGCTATTACTTTTCAAGGTAGTTGTGCCAGTTTATGCTCCTATTATGACTGATTAGCTCTATCAATAGATGGAAATATCTTGGACTGTATGTGATGCTCAATCAATAGCCACATACTCTGTCTTTCCTGAAAGCTTCATCATAAATGACTATCATCCTTCATTATAGCTACAGGTGAAGATTCTCAGGTTGCCACTGGAGTGCTCTTATTTTCTATGTACTTAATCACATTGGTGGACACTTGGGATGCAAAAAGAAACAAAGACAAAGTCCACAGAACAGCTGATGTGAGCTGGTGACACCAAAGCCACCAAAGGAAAAGTGTGGCAGTGACTGGCAAGGAGAGTGCTGTCAGTGCTCCAAAGTTCCAAGTGGAGGAAGAAATTGGAAAAGGGACTCGGCTCAGCACCCGTGGCTCAAGTGGCTAAGGCACCAGCCACATACACCTAAGGTAGCAGGTTCGAATCCAGCCGGGGCTCATCAAAACAACAATGATGGCTGCAACCAAAAAAAAAAAAAAAATAGCTGGGCGTTGTGCCGGGCGCCTGTGGTCCCAGCTACTTGGGAGGCTGAGGCAGGAGACTCACTTGAGCCCAGGAGTTGGAGGTTGCTGTGAGCTGTGATGCCACAGCACTCTACCCAGGGGGACAGCTTGAGGCTCTGTCTCTTAAAAAAAAAAAAAGGGACTCAACTGCAGCTGCATGCTGAGTTCAAGGCAGTGTGGGGAAATCATTGGTGTAGTCAGTCAGGGACTAACACAACAGCAGATGCATTATATTCCCATGGACAATGATGTGACACAGAGAAACTCTCTGTTCACTCTCAGGTTCAGGGGATCCCCAAAAGTGGCTAAAGGAAGAAGCCAGGAACAAATGACATAGGTCAAGCCAGTGAAGAAAGGCCAATCTCATCTGGAAGGTAAAGAAGTGTATTTAAAATAAGCCCTTACTGTCTAGCCTTGTTTAATAAAAGGCACAGTTCCGCAGGATGAGCAAGAAAACAACCAAATGGTTCAGAGGCCCACAGAAGGTGTGCTGATATCAAAAGCAGGTTTCCAAGAGCTGCCAGGAAGCAGGAAACACTATAAAAGCTGCCCGAGTGACTAACGGGCAGTTTTCACTGTAGGTGACAAGACAGAGTTAGACACATACGCTGGATGCAAGACACATGAAAGTTCCAGCTTTAACCACGCTATAGACTTATCATATACCCTGAGAACACCAGGTCTACTCTCCCTCATTCCTTTCATTCCACATATAGCAGAAATGTCCATTGCCTAACCTCATGGTGGGTAAGGGATAACTCAAGCTGCCTTATCTTCAAACAGCAGTTCTCAAAGTGATGCTACCCTCCTTGGGGACACTGGACCATGTCTGTGGACATTTTGGGTTGTCACACTTGGTGGAAGATGGTGATACTGGCATCTAGTGGGTAGAGGTCATGGATGCTGTCCGACATCCTACAATGCACAGGTAGCCCCCACAGCAACAAATTATCTTACCCAAGATGTCATAATGCCAAGGCTGAGAAAGATACTGTGCAATGGGAACAATTCCTACCTGTAAACTGGGCCGAGACCAATAGCTTAATTTCCTTCCCCCTTGCCATCATGGGCCATGCTAGCCCATGTTCTTAGTACCATGTCTACCTGAAGTCCCCATGCACCACTGTGGTCCTCTGCTGACTGGGGAGATGCAGCGGCAGCCACTCAATGAGCTTCTCCATGGCTGGGATGGTGCTGGTTTCTGAGGCTCGATACTGCTTAATCCAGGTTTGCACCTGGCGCAAAATATAGTCCCCTGAGGGAAAGAGGATTAGAACATGGTGTGCTATTTCAACAAGCTCCAAAAGTTTCAGAAATTAAGCAGTGTAGTGAAACTCTTGGAAATGTTCTGCATGGCACCACATCTTTGAACACATTCCTGTGACTAGAGAATTTCCCACACAAATGATCCTGCCATCACAAGGTAGAAACCACTGGCTGTTTTGTCTTGGTTGGGTTAGAGTGGTCTGGGCAATGTTCCTGGTCACCTAGCCACCAAGCCTGATCCCTGGCCCTCTTGAAGATCTTATGAACTTCCTAATAGCTTTTAATAAATCCCTTTTGGTCTAAACAACAGTAGTTAGCCATGAGCATGACCTCCACAGCCAAACTGCTAGGATCTGAGTCCCAGTTCTGCCATTTTCTTACTATGTCATCTAAGGCAGATTACTTAATCTCTTCGTGCCTTAGTTTCCTCATCTAGAGATGGTCCTTACAGAGTTGTTGAACACTACTTCTGAATGCTATTACCATTCAGTTTCTTGCTAATAAAGTAAAGAGAGGCCACAGATGAGAACCTGAAAATTACATCTAGGAACATTAACCAGAATGAATTCTGAAGTCAACATAGGCCACAGACAAGCTCTTCAATTGGTTTTACTAGTACAGTAAGGTATTGATAGCTGTATTCTGCAGGGTTATTATAAAGACTAAATGAAATCCATATGTAATGTGCCAAGCACAGTGCCAGCAAAGTGGACTGCTCAATAGGTGGTGGCCATTATTGTCACTATTATTAGCTGTCAATTTAGTTATTAATTGCTACTATTTTTTTTGAGACATCCAGGCTATAGTGCAGTGGTATTAGCCTAGGTCACAGAAACCTCAAACTCCTGAATTCAAGCAATCATCCTGCCTTAGCCTTCTGAGTAGCTGGGACTACAGGTACCCACTGTTGACGCCCAGTTAATTTTTTCTATTTTTTTTTTGAGACAGAGCCTCAAGCTATCCCCCTAGGTAGAGTGCCATAGCATCACAGCTCACAGCAACCTCCAACTCCTGGGCTCAAGCGAGTCTCCTGCCTCCGCCTCCCAAGTAGCTGGGACCACAGGTGCCCACCACAATGCCTGGTTATTTTTTGGTTGCAGCTGTCATTGTTGTTTGGCAGGCCCGGGCTGGATTCGAGCCCGCCACCTTAGGTGTATGTGGCTGGCGCCTTAGCCACTTGAGCCACAGGCACCAAGCCAATTTTTTCTATTTTTAGTGGAAATGGGGTCTTGCTCTTGCTCAGGCTGGTCTAGAAGTCCTGAGCTCAAGGGGTCCTCCTGCCTCAGTATCCCAGAGTGCTAAGATTACAGGCCTGAGACACTGTGCCCAGCCTACATAACCATTTTTTTTTTTTTTGAGACAGAGTCACACTTTGTCACCCTTAGTAGAGTACCGTGGCATCACAGCTCACAGCAACCTCCAACTCTTGGGCTCAAGCAATTCTCTTGCCTCAGCCTCCCAAGTAGCTGGGACTATAGGCGGCCACCACAATGCCCGGCTATTTTTAGAGATGAGGTCTTGCTCTGCCTCAAGTTGGTTTTAAACCTGTTAGCTCAGGCAATCCACCCACCTCGGCCTTACAGCGTGCTAGGATTACAGGCATGAGCCACTGCCCCTGGCCCTAACTATTTTATATGTAGTTAATTCCCAGCCCAGCAGCTGGGAACCTGACAGTCTGACAAATCATGGGTTTCCTGGTCCTATAATGAGATCCTAGAATTGGAAATAGCATGAAGCAGTTTTATGGTCTCAGGCTCAAAACATAGCTGTTGCCTGAAGGGTTGGTCCTGGGTCACAGGAAATCACATCAGGTTTCTGATTTATCTCTTTGTGCTAACAGGTCTATGGAAAGAACATCAGAATAATCCGCTTTAAAAATACAAAAAGGCAAAGGATCCACTTGGACAAGACAATGCATGGGAACCTCCTTAAACAATTCTCTGTCTACACAAGGATGTCACACTTCCTATCACTGCATTTGGAGGCTTTCTCTTCATTCAAAGTTCTGGGTCAGTTGCCATTTCTTCTAACCTTATCCTGTGCAGGAGACAAGGCAGGGTTTTGAAACTCAACTAGGACAAAGTAATGTGACCTGCCTAAGGCTACCTGAAAAATGAGCTGCTGACTTCTGGTGTAGCACTCTTTAGGAGCTATGTTGACACCACTGCACTCTAGCCTGCACAACAGAGAGAGACCCTGTCTCTACAAATAACAAAAACAAAAAACAAACCCTGTTGGGCAGTGCCTATAGTTCAGTGAGTAGGGTGCCGGCCAGACACACCAAGGCTGGTGGGTTCAAACCTGGCCCGGGCCTGCTAAACAACAATGATAACTGCAAGAACAACAACCAAAATAGTTGAGCGTTATGGCAGGTGCCTGTAGTCCCAGCTACATGGGAGGGTGAGGCAAGAGAATCACTTAAGCCCAAGAGTTTGAGGTTGCTGTGAGCTGTGACATCATGGCACTCTAACCAGGGTAACAGCTTGAGACTTAGTCTCAAAAAAAAAAAAAAAAAAAATGAAAAAAACAGCAATCCCTGGCTCAGTGCCTATAGCTCAAGTGGCTAAAGTGCCAGAGACATTACCAGAGCTAACAGGCCTGCCATACAATGACAACTACAACCAAAATATAGCCGGGCGCCTGTAGTCCCAGCTACTCGGGAGGCTGAGGCAAGAGAATCACTGAAGCCCAGAAGTTGGAGGTTGCTGTGAGCTGTGATGCCACAGCACTCTACCCAGCTTGAGACTCTGTCTCAAAAAAAAAAAAAAAAGGCTTGGTGCCTGTGGCACAAGCGGCTAAGGCACCAGCCACATACACCTGAGCTGGCGGGTTCAAATCCAGCTCGGCCCGCCAAACAACAATGATGG